CTTGGGTGCTGGAGCGATCCCCACTCGGCGGAAACGCGGCTGTTTCCCATCCTGATCGACACATCGGACGATATGACTACTGCGGTGAGTGACCAGCACATGTATGCAGCAGGCTAGACTGCNAACAAGTGCTGGTGCGGTGACAACGTCGGATACGCCATCAATGGCCCCGGCGACTGCGCCATGCCCTGCTCCGGCAACTCTGACGAGATCTGTGGCGGGTCGTACGCTCTCTCCGTCTACTCGAACGACCCCGACTACCTTGGGTGCTGGAGCGATCCCCACTCGGCGGAAACGCGGCTGTTTCCCATCCTGATCGACACATCGGACGATATGACTACTGCGGTGAGTGACCAGCACATGTATGCAGCAGGCTAGACTGCTCGTCGTACAACGCGCCCAGTAGTTGGGTTCGGGGTTCGTCATTGTGCATTGTGTACATTTTCCTTACTCTCTGAGGCTACCATGATGTGCCGCATATTGGTGTCAATCCGTACTTGGGACGTGAAGAGCCGAAGACTACATTAGGGACTCCAAAAGGGTAAGCAGCTCTCGACCTCGCCAGCCCATCCGACAGAATGACCAATAGTGAGGCCAGGAAATTCCGATGGCGTCGCGTGCTGCGGTCGCGGACGGGGATAGAAGAATGATCGACGAGCTCCTTCGTTACGAGCAGTCGGATCGAGTTGCTCTCTTCCAAACCGCTATTGTAACAAGTGGTGGGTTCGTTTATCCAACAAACGAAGTTTGTCAATCCGTCGCCCTTCAACGCTAGCAGCTACGTACGGGGTGTTCTATGACGTCAACATCTCAGCACAACACGAATTGCATGAGTCGACTACTACATTTTCGAATTGACCTGTGCGCCACGGCTGATGGACAAATACTTCCAATCGATGCGCCACTTGACGTCCGGCTGTATTCCACGCTGCAGGTCTGCGAAGGCCTCTGCGCCAATTATGCGTACTACGGGACGCAGTATGGAACCGAGGTGAGATGAGCGTTTCCCTTGCTCTGGCGAGAAATTTGTGTGCGAGACGCCCGTGGGTCGTCACAGGCTGCGACTTCGCCATTCAAGTCAGGAGCCCTCGGAGGCGTCACTAGACCTGCCCGTTCCGAGTGAAGAATGAGGCTCTGTCTCGTTCACTATGTATGCTAGTTTAAAAGGAAACCTCCTCCTTAGCACATGCACCGCGAGGATATTGACATGCTTGCGGACGGACAAGTCATTGCTTCATGATCGGGTTCCAAGTTTGCACTGGCTTCAGTGAGAGAGGGAACAGCGTGCCAGACCGAAACAGAAACATGGCGGGATTGCTTTCGCTGTTGCAGACTACTTGCACACAGATGTACTGTAGTACAGGCACCTATACGATCCTGGTGCGCGCGGCATCACGAAGCTTTCCTCGAACCCTGCCGCGCTTGTGGACGTTGGCTCATCAGTCTATCGAACTCTGCCCTCCATTAATCACGCCCAGAAAACGGCTCATCTCTTGTTGAAAAATAAATGCTCTCGCCCGTTCCTTGGCTGTGCTCCTGTTTGTATCCTGGTAACAGTGCTGGTGCGATGAGGGCACGGCGGACTATGCGCAAAATGGTCTTGCCGTCTGCGACTATGAGTGTGGTGGATCCACCGACGGCGAGTTCTGCGGGGGGTTTGACGCCATGTCCATTCGCCAACACGAAGTATACAATGACACCGACTCACTTGGATGCTTCTACGACCCGGCCGACAACCGCATTTTCTGGCTGGCGACTTCCTCTGACGACATGACCAAGGCGGTGAGCCGGTTGGCTACGTCTGCTGGCTTGGGTTGAGCTGCTAATGCTTTTTGTCGGTGACTCAAAACTTGTACTCTGCGTGGTACTATTGGCTGATTTGTGGTTGCCCTTGCACAGCCGTTGAAACCAGCTATCAACATCATCATTGGACCAACACCCCACCGCCACTTCCCCCGCACAAATCCACGTCGCCCGTTGTTCGCTCCTCTCGCTTCCTGGGACTGACCATTGAGTCCCCCCTACTTGTACCCGAACAACCACAGGTCTGTTCGGACCACTGCAGCGCGTACCCGTACTACGGAACTCAGTATTCGGTAGAGGTGAGACTCCTAGCATAGACTACGCGCGTAACAGAAGTGGTGTGGATCGAGCGTCGGAACATGACCCCAACATGGTGTTGGAAAAGCATCGTGCGCGTTTGGGTGAGCCTTCCATATTCATTCTCGGCCGCTGCCTTGTTGTGATGCTCCATCGGGGAACGTGCTGGATCGGCGGTTCCTGGAGAAACGAACAATGCTGCTTGTTCGGTCTATAGCATAGGTTGTTACTGGACGTTCGCTGATGCTTCAGGTGATCTCGCCTGAACTCATTGCGGCCTGCTATTACATGTCGTTTGCAGGCGAGATCCTCCTGCCTCAGGCTTTGCTAATACACGTTGACAGCCTTGGCCTCACGTCACGCCCACCGACGCACGTAGTCCAAGCTATCGTGTTGCCAACTACGTCTCGTGTATGCCACGACGTCACGACGAAACCCTCGCCCGCTCGTTCACTGCGCTCCCCTACCCCCCTTTTCTGGATACTCGTGAACGAAGTGCTGGTGCGGTGACGAGAACGCCGACTATGATGCGAACGGTGCCAGCAACGAGTGCGTGATGCCCTGCGCGGGCGACGCCAGTGAGACGTGTGGAGGCTCCTACAGTATGAGTGTCTACCAGAACGAAGTGGAAATCCCTGTGGACCCCGCGTACCGTGGCTGCTACTCCGACCCAGGCACCAACCGTGTTTTCGTGCAGGACGATTCCTCTGACGAGATGACCGCAGAGGTGAGTGAGAGGGCAACAAAGGCGTGCCTAGACTGTAGTGACTAAAGTTTTGTAAGATTTTCGTTTTCGTCGGATGAGGGTTTCCTAGGCGCGTGGAGTCAAACGACGTCAGCATTGTGAGCCGTGTGAGCTTGGGAAACGCCACACTGGCAGGTGGCAGCCAGCTGTGGGCTGGTCCTGCTGCCTTTCGTGTTTCATCATCCCTTCCTTGATGGCACGGTGCTCTTCTGAGCCAATTCAGGGCCTTGTTAGGTACCTGAGAGGGTTCTGAGAAGTTGGGTTGGAGCCTCCGCTTGGTCGGTGCGCTGAACAACGATGTTCTCCGATGCCGACGTCGTATTGCCATCGCCCGTCAAAATGTCTCAGGCTCCACCGGAAAAAGCGTTCCGAAAGCCAACTCACCATCGCTGCACCCGGCGCACCTACTTTGTCGCTCTCAGCTCATGCGCCCCTACTCACTGCTTCTTTCCCCTCGTCCTGATGATCGATCTTTTGGACACTCACCGTTACCCAAACGACCGCAGGTCTGCGCGGCGCAATGCGACGAATCGGCCTTCTACGGAACGCAGTACTCGAGGGAGGTGAGGACCTTGTTTGCTACTCTTTTCCCAAACCAAAAGGTTGAACGCGGGCACCACCTCGGCGTTCCCGCCGACAAAGACGCGAGTTGCGCTGCCGTAAAACCGTCAAAATGCCGCACGGCACCACTAGACTCTCTGTATATTCCAATGGATCGAAAATACTGCCGCTGTCGAAGCTTGCAGGCAAAATGGAAAGGCTGCACAGGCGGTTTGAACAAACACGTGACAAGTCATCGAGAGACGGCACCATAAAAGCCAGCCCCGAGCGTACCAGCGCAATCCTGAGATAGGGCGACCCTTTCCCAGTCGCCCTTCTTGCTTGCTGTGTCGTAGTTGAGATGGCTTGGCCCAACGTCGTGAGTTCCAACGGGAGGGGTTCGGTGCAAAGTGACTACGTGTCCGGGTGTGGTGCCCCGGCCAGACGATTCGTAGAAACAACACTTGCCGCCCTCGGGTTATGTTGTTTTTGTACAGGCATTGCCTCCTTACGTGCCTCTGAGATTCGCCTGGACATTTATCCGCACAACGGTGTGGTTATGCCGATGGTGTTCGCTTAACGGGGATCGCGGTACTTAAATTGGAGAATGTTTCTCCTCGAGCCGATGGTGGTTCTGTGTTGTTCGTTTCTTCTGCCTCCAGTTCTCGTGTGGCATGATATATGACCTGACACCACCGTCACCTTCGCACCCACCTATATACTGTGTCCCTCCCTCAGTTTCGTCGATGTCTACGTTGATACCACCGTGTACCCCCCACTGTTCCATCCCTTCGACAACAGTGCTGGTGCGGTGACATCAACGCCCAATACTCCGTCAATGGCGTCGGCGTGTGCGACATGCCCTGCTCGGGCAACTCCGAAGAATCCTGTGGGGGTTCCTACAGCATGGACGTATACGCCCAGGACCCGGCGTACCTTGGGTGCTTTTCGGACCCCGCCGACGGCCGCATGTTCGTGTGGGAGAGTTCCAACACCGCTATGACCGCAGAGGCGAGCCGTTAACCGATTAACGACGTTGGATTACCTGAATCTAAAATCATCCCTTTTAACACTAGCATCGCGCTTCGCAATATGTGTGTTGGGGTATTGATGTTGGTTCTAGTTCTTGCACAGGAAAACATCAACCATTGTCGCCATTTCGTAACCCAACTCGTTACGAACACCCCCCCCCGTCCATGTGTCTCACTTTCGATTGGTACTGATGTAACGGTACGGGGGTGAACATTGGGGGCGAAATGTTGCACCCTTGGTAGAAAATGTGTATAAAAAGTCCTGTTTCGGTGAAACAGGACGCGGCCGACAGGTTCACGTGGAGGGTGTCTCCCTACTCAAAAGTGTCATATACATGAGGTGACCCCCCCCCCACCGTAGTGTTTCTTTTGGGTCCTCACTAGAGTACATCTCCCCCGCCCCCTTGACCGTCGACCGTTGCTCGTGCGCACACGTGCATGGCCTAACGACAGGCCTGCGCCTCGCGCTGCAGCGGCTCAGCCTACTACGGAACCCAGTACTCTCAAGAGGTATGACGTCTTGTGGTCGTGTCCAAAGGGTGTCAGTCGTGCTCTGTAGGCCAGTGTTGTGCGAGAAGAGCGACAATTGGAAGCCGTTGCGGGCGCTTTGGGATGACCATGGCCGCCGGCGTGAATCTGTTCCNAGTGTTTCTTTTGGGTCCTCACTAGAGTACATCTCCCCCGCCCCCTTGACCGTCGACCGTTGCTCGTGCGCACACGTGCATGGCCTAACGACAGGCCTGCGCCTCGCGCTGCAGCGGCTCAGCCTACTACGGAACCCAGTACTCTCAAGAGGTATGACGTCTTGTGGTCGTGTCCAAAGGGTGTCAGTCGTGCTCTGTAGGCCAGTGTTGTGCGAGAAGAGCGACAATTGGAAGCCGTTGCGGGCGCTTTGGGATGACCATGGCCGCCAGCGTGAATCTGTTCCACGTGTCTCGCAGTGATTCCAGATGTCATAGTTGATTGTCCATCGTCTCGATGAATACCAAATGCATGATACGCGTGCCGAGTCATACGTATCTGCTCATTTGGTGAGGATACTTACTTGTAGTGGTTTCAACCATCGTACCTTGGCTTCTCTGGGCCACCGAGAGGTGCGTAGCTCTCTCGGACCGCCGCTGTGTTGGTTTTCGTCCCTTGCTTGTTCCTCATGACACCCATGATATGTGTGCAACAGACTTGGAAGTGACATTGATGGGCTATGTGTCTCTGCTTAAGAATGATGACTGATCGCACAAACGAACCATAACTATTTACGAAGAGAGCCTTGACTTGACTGTCGCGGTCTGCGGAATCCTTGAGCGGAACGGGTCGTGTTCGTGCATCGATCTCCACAACGTAGCGGCGACCTGCGGTGTTCTTGCCCCACTGTTAGCCCNCCTCAAGCATGCCATTTGGAGACCCGTTCCCGCCGCACGTTCATGCCCCCCCTTGGGTGTTGATGCTGCTGCATGAAACAGTGCTGGTGCGGCGACAACGCCGACTACGCTGCCAATGGTTTCGGCGTCTGCGACATGCCCTGTACGGGAAACTCGGACGAAATGTGCGGTGGCCCCTACACCATGTCGGTGTACCAAGCCATCTAGATTGGTCGTCCACCTGGTTGCTTGATCAAGGTAAGCCCGGCCACCACGTTTTTACTCTGAAATGCAAAAAACTGGCAAGAATATCTCGTGTCAACATAGTAGAGGCAGAGAAATATCGAAGGCCCAGAGGCGCACGTAGAAGATTCTTAAGCCGGATACGTGGTAAGCAGTCCACAAGACTTACGAAAGGAATGCATGAGTACTTTCGCCCTCCGGGATCGTGTATGGATGCTCGTTTGGGTAGAAT